CTCTTTCGTCCCCTGTATTAGGTTGTAATCTATGCATGTGGCTAACCATAAATTCCAACATTTGGTATCAAAGCATCAACAAGCTCTTCATAGATTGATTTGATGATTACTGGCAACGTATAAATTAGATTATTTCTTTTGCTTGCTTCTTGAAGTTTTTATCAGTTACAGGATTAAAGCTAAAGTGAAAAGGCAAAGAAGAATGAAAGGAAAACTAATGAAAAGGGCTTGAAAAGTTTTAGTTTTAATAAAAAACCATGTTATAAGTTTTGTTTAATGATTAGTACAAGGCCCATATTAAAGCAGTCAAACTAAAAACAGCCCAACTATAATAAATTATGATTTGTCGATTTTACCCCTAACTTTTTTAGGTTGAGTTCCAGATTTTCGTCGTTAATGAAGTTTATCGTTGTTTTGCAGACCTTCTTCTTTTTCTTTGAAACAAAAATATAAATCCTCATGCTATTTAATTTATATTTTGTATTATTTCGTTGAAATGTGATTGTCGTTATTATTCATAGTGTATTTGAGGTAATGTTTTTCAATTTTTCTTCGTCAGCGGAGTTGATTGTTTGTTTCTCCGGAAAATAAATTTGAGATCTGCATGCTATTCAATAATAACGATAGGTCACTATTTCTGGACTGTAAAAATAAACTGTTTCCAGATTTTAAGTAACATTGTTTCTGGAATCTAAGTCACTGTTTCCAGAGACAGTGTTAATTTTTCCAGAGACTGTAAGTTTTGGCAGAGACAATGTTAGTTTTTGCAGAGACCGTGTTAGTTTTTCCAGAAATAGTTACGTATTCAAAACATAACGGGTCACATTGTTTTCTAAAAAAGTGCCAAAAAAATCATACTATTTCCTATAAATGTTTAACATTAACAGTGTTATGAAAGTTGAACACCATAGTTGAAGTCACTTTTCTCTCTCTTTCTCGTCTGCTTTTTCAATTTTCTTTTTCTTTTCTAGATTTTGTAATTGGGGAAGGTGGTTCTATCACAGGTAAAGATATATTTTTCTTTCTAATTTTATGGAGAAATGGGTGCAAGGAATTGGAATTTTTGGTTTTTTTCAGTTCCATGGAAAATGGATTCAGTTTGAGTGTCCTCCTCCTTGATTCAATTGCATAGCTCTTTTCCTGTTCGTTTCTTTTTAATTGTACTTTTGGAGATTGGATTCAATAATTTGGGATTTTTTTCTTCTCAAAGTCTGGTTGTTCTCCAAATCTGAATCTAATTTGGACAAGGAAATTCAAAAACTGATATATGCGCCAAGAATGAAGGAAGAAAAATCCAGAAAATGAAATGATGATCGACACTCTGCTTGGAGTTGCCCTGAGTTTTCTCCTTCATGAGAACAAACAAGTTTCAGACCTATGCCTCCTTGTTGGGGTAATTTTGAAAACTTATTTTTGTTTCTGTTGGGCTTTGTAATTCAGCCCATGTAGAACTGGAGGCTCTATCTTTATGGTTAATTTTGAGGAGCTTTTAGTTAAATATGATGATTTTTATTAAAATAATCTTGATCTAAGCTCTTTTCATTAAAGCTTAATGAAAGGCATGGGCTGCCTTTCCGTGCCTTAATTTAAGGGAAAAGAAATAAAGGTTGTTGCTTTTGGTTGAATAAGAATAGTGTGAAGCAGAGTGAGAGAGGTGAGAGCATCCGGCTCTCCCAAGAAATGAAAGGGGGCAAGCGTCCACAAGAGAGGAGAGTTGATACATGGCATGGGAGAGAGCTCCTGAAAAAATTGAGGGATTTTACTAAACCTCAGCCATGGCACAACTTGAAGATCTTAATGGCGTCATTCTCGGCCATGGTGGCGGACACGATGATGTTTTCGGTAGACGTAACAAAGACATGGTTTCCGCTGCACAGTAGTTGGCGTGCCAACGGGCGTTTGAGATCGTGCGAGAGCAAGGCCCGCTGGGATTGTATCAGGGCTTGTTGTCGGTGATTCTAAAACACGTTTGAAGAGCGACAGTAGGTCCCTCTCTCTCTCCCTGCCAAAGCTATCTCTGGCGTTGTTGCTCAAAATGGAGAGGGATGCTCTGTGAAGGTTGATGCTTATCTAATTATTTATCATTATATTATTCAACTAATTGATCTTGGCATTCCATTGCTATGGCTATTATCATTTTGCTTCCTCTGTATTTGCAGATAAAAGGATGTTGGTGATAAACGTAAAGGTTAAATATATATATATATATATATATGTTTTGTTATATTGCTAACATCTTCTAGCTTCTTAAGATTAATATTGTTAAAGACACCTAATAAAATAATCTTCACTAAAGTGGGACTATCAGGAATTTTATTTGATAAAAATTTAGTTATGGTTTATGGTCGTCGTTATTAATGATTCATGTGTATAAATTTTTTCAAACACAGGTTGAAAGGCATGGTAATAAAGATAACTCATCTCAGAGGCTATTGAAATTAACGGCTTTTGGAGGAGAAACAACCATGATAAAGTATTCTTGAACAAATGTTTATATAATTTTACACCAAAGTGAGAATTATTAGGAAGTTCTGTTCAAGGTATTTTTACTTAAATTGTGAGTAACAATTTATTACATGAGCCTAATCTTTCCAAAGAAAGAATTAATGATTGGTTCAAACTGTGAGTCAGTGTGTAGTATTTCATGATTTCTTAAGGCAACTTTAATTAGTCTCTTGTCCAAAGATGTGATTCTTAAGGTGAATTGAAATATGCTACAAATAAGGTGCATAATACTTTTTGTTGCCCAAATGTAACATAAATCTTTGATGCTGCACTATAATACATGTTGTTATATCTGCATACAATAGTCATTGGTGTAGTGCATGTATTATAGCTTAGTAAGTTTTTGTTGTCTTATTTTAATACGTCTACCGGTGATTGTATACATATATTCTGAATCTCACTTTAGCAGTGATGTGGTAAAGCAATATATTTTTATTGTGCATATGAAATGTGAGCACGATTTAATTGGTAAGCAAGTGTGCAAACACATCAAAACCTTTTCATTTCAGAAACTGATTGTTAGGCTGGCATTTTGCATGCACTTGAATTTGAAACTTGAATTTGAAAATGAAGTTGGAGTGCTATGATGAAATGTAGGCAATTTTTTATAAAATCTTATACTTAGGAAATTTGTATGAATCTTAACAACCAAAGGCAGCAGAAACACAGATATAAACCACTATATCGCACATGATATTTTATTCTTCATACTTGATAATATATGATGTAATCATTTTCAAGTATGCTGAAAATTGAGATTAATTGAATATCAAAGTGAGTCTTATCTCTTCCATCTGTTTAATTGTAACACTCTTTTTTGATTGCTGAGTTGGTTCTTATTATTGTTTTTACTTGAACAATTATTGGTGAGCTTACTACATATATACTATTTGAGTTGTCATGTGCTTCTCATAACATTCTGGAAGAAGGAATTTGTTTCGAAGTGTGTTTAGGAGTGATTGGCTAGTTATCTAGTCTACAATCTACACTATGCTGCTTGCCTGGCCTTTGCAGCATGCACTGAACTGCTGGCTTTGAAGCATCGGAAATCATGTCTGATCAAATGCTGAATTTGGTGAACTTGGAATACAAAATAATGAAACATATCATTGCTTTCTGCACCTAGATCACATATACCTGCCATTCACTCTATGTGCTTGTTTCTGTTTAATTTTAGGTTGAATTTGAACAAAGTTATCACGTACTTGCATCAACTAAGCAAAGTGCAATGACTTGCTTGATATTAGGATGGTGATTTCAAGGTTCTTTGATCAAACTTGCATCTTAGTTATAACAAAGGGATGATCTTCTTGCCCAAAGGTGTGGATCGTTATTTTTGGTTCAATTAAGATGGCATAGTATGGATTCTATTTCACAAGACTTTTTTGAAAGCTTCATCTTGCCTAAAGGTGTTGAAAGTTTCTTATGAAGGTAACTCGTGTAATGTATGATCCAGGGATAAATTTATGTGTTTCCAGTTACAAATATTTCCATTATGAGCCACATTATAGTTTGCGGTTTTGTGGCATGGAATTGGTTGCATGATATATATATATATATATATATATATATATATACATATATATATATATATATATATGTCTCTTCATGAGACTTATTGATGCAAATATATTGTACCCGTGAAGGTTAACCAAGGATTGATCAGTTTTGTTTTAGAGCCCAAGTCAGTTAGTGGTCGTGGGGAAGAAAGTTAATATATACTCTTTTATTTCAACAAACCATTTTTTATGGGAACCACTACAAAGTAATTTGTTGCATTTATAAAATGCTAAAGCATGTGTGCACTTATACACTTTGATTTCAATAATAACGAGCTTGCAGAATATGCTTTGCCTCATTGTTAGTCTCCATTCACGAACTTATTTTGTACTGTTTGCATCTCTTATTGTTGAAAGAATTGGCGTTGAATCATGATTTTAATGATGACAACATGATTAGGTTTCATAAGTATATGATCAATGCGTACATTGTCAATCTTTCGTCTCTTCCATTTGAGGCCAAAAAGCACCAACAATTGTGCTCATAGACCAATAGCAACAGTGCAGCTACTATCTTTATGTCTGTGCCCTCTATGGGTGTCACCATTTATTAAAAGGCACAATAGGGGTGTTTGTGCCAGAGAGGCAAGTACAAATAATGGCCCATTTGTGCCCCTGTTCTGACAACTTTGTCAAATCAGCTTTTCCAGCCATGTTGGCACTTATATTGTAACTGTGCCAACATGAATTAATTAATAAAAAAAAATCAAAATTTGAAAAATTGAAACTAAATTGAGGAAATGCAAAAATTTTAAATTTCATGAATTGAAGAAAACCTACAACCATGAAACCAACTTTCACTTTCTAAATCTCACAAACATATATTGTAGTGTTACATATTTTCTCTCTAATACAAACAAAAAACTTGAAAGCAAACATTTTTGGACAGATGCATCTTCCCAGCAGGCCTTGCACCTCATCAAATTTTTGCTGGTCCATACACGAATTAATCATATGACATGCAGTATATGGACTCTCACAGAAGTCATGAATAACAAATGCAAAGATAAAGAAAAGCCACACACTTTACAAGAGCAAAGAAAATGAAGGGATAAAGAAAGTAAGAAGGGAATATCTTTGTGGGAGGACTCTTATTTGCTTCAAGGGTCTTTCCACCACTTGCTTTAAGATGATTCTTATATAACAACTCCACCCTCTAGAACAACCAACAATGGATGAGGAAAGTATACAAATATTCCTCATCAAAAATAAGTTCACAAGTATTAAAAATAAGTCCACCCTCCATAACAACCGACTGTGCATTACTACATTGTTCAGACTCATCACACTCTGCATAAGGTTACATGGCTAATTGCTCAAGGTTCAGATTTGGTGCAGAAATATTATCATCTTCATTTTGATTCCAGTATTCAAACACAAAGACCAGGGTACATTTTGTAACAAACCATAGAAATTGACCAAATGAAATTAATGCTATTAACAGCGACCATGGCTAAAAACTGTTGAAGACCAACTGACATAATCTCTAGCTTGATGTCAGTGAGAAAAGACTCACTCAGCTAACATACACTACAATATTCATCAGAAGCCAACACAAATATAGTCGAATTCAAAACACAATCAGTCCAAAATTACACCTACAAAGAGTTAATTAAAATCAGTACCTACAAGTTCCAGATCAGCCATCTCAAAGATTCATATTCCTCACTTCGGGTTGTAAAAGTAACTTTTGGGTTGGAGATAATACATTCAGCTCATGGTCACCTGAATCAAAGAAATATACAAGTATGTATATTATTTATGGTCAAAGAGAGTTGCTTATTTTAATCACATACCTAGTAAATATTTGTTTAAGTTAGCATAGACAATATAACGATATTGCATTTTCCATGATGAAACTTGTACTAACATGATTAAACATTAGCACCTTAAGAACTTCACATTTGAATACATTTTTTTGTATTTCACTTCTGGTTTCATCTCTACCTAGATCCAATTACTAAATCCTCTTCTTTCAATGCTGCCACACCATAAAAGAAAAGTAAAAAACGAATAAATACTTATTGGGGGAGGGGTGGAATCAAGACAACTCCTAATAAATCAATAAAAAAAACTTACGCTTTTCCAAAAATTGAAGATCCAAAATCCTAAAATTCTAAGCAACATGGCTCCGTAAATATAATAATAGATATGAAATTCTTCCATACAAATACAGAATACGAACCGGCAATGGGGGCGTGACAAGGGCATGGCCTTTGAGGTTGCGGAGACAGAGAGAACAAGGCCCCAAACCGCTCCAATATGAGTTGGATCGGGTCAACCAAACTAGTCATCGAGAAACTTCACAGTATGAATTAACCAAAAATCCATCATATTCATATCCAAAATTGCATGCAGCGGGCAAGTATGAAAAAAAATGTAAAATAAATTCAAAACTCAAATTCATAAGCAATGAGGCGAGATACAAAATATATATACGCCAGATCTCATAAGATATAAACTCGAAACAAAAAAACATGAACTCAAATATGATGCATGGGTGGTGTTGGTGTTTTTCAAAGAAAAAAAACAAAGGAAAAACCAGATATGAGAGGAGTGAGAGAGAGAGACCCTAATCCAAAATCCTTAATTCAGAGACCGTTTTCAAAAGCCCTAATTCAGAACCCATATTCAAAATCACTAACCGAATTCAAACTAAAACAATATCCATGAACTTTGGTTGAGTTTATTGCATGATATTCTTACCTTGTGGAGTGAGGTGGAGTGAGTGAGGACTATGACCGAGAGCTCGATTTGGGCGAGGTGGTGTGGACAGTGGGTGGAATCGTGATTCAGGGGACGAATTCACGAAGTGAAGACTGAGGATTGAGGACCGGTGTGGGTGGAGTCACGATTCAGGCGACGAATTTGGGTGATCCCACTGATGTGGGAGGACAGAGGAAGATGGAGGGCTCGATTTGGATTTGGGTGGAGGAGGCGAATCGGGTGAGAGAGACAGTGAGGGTGAGGTGAGGTGAGAGTGAGGTTACTAGGGTTAATTATAAAACAACGATTTGAGATTTAAATCTCAACCAATCCGACGATCCACATAATTTTAAAATTAAATACATATAATATATATGTGTGAGACCAAAGTAATCCATTTGGTAAAGAGAGAAACGGGTGGAAGAGAGTGTGTGGGTGTGGGTGGGTTAAGGGGGGGGAGAGAGAGAGAGAGAGAGAGAGAGAGTGGGGTGTGGATTGGTTAAGGGTGTTGGTGGGTTAAAGGGAGGGAGAGAAAGTAAGGTGTGAGTCATAAGTCTTGCAAAAAAATAATATAAAAAACTAATTGTGTCTTTTGAAGTAATATATAGACACAAATAATATATTTGAATCCATTGTTTTGAAAAAGTTGAGAGAGAAAATTATTTGTGCCAACTTTGTAGAGAATGGGCACATTAGTTGGTGCCCTTATAGAAAAGGAAACAAATACAAATTTTTATGTGTAAAATTTGTTCTATACCCACAAAATAAATAATTGTGTCCTCAATTTTGTATCCATAAGCCATTTTTGTTGTAGTGATATTTAATAAGACCTAAAATTAATACCTATATGTCTACTGGTTTCATTAGCTCTTCCTGTTTGATTACTCTTGGTATGATTTTATGTTTCAATCATAAATGTTTGAACGCATGTTAAGGAAAGTTAAAAGGAAATATGATAATATGCTTTTGTTCTACAATCTAGTTATGATGTTGTAGATTAATGGGGAGATAATTCTATATTGTTTTGCCTTATATCTTGCATATTAACTATATATGCTTATGTCGTAAGGATTTCTTTTGGCTTGTTTAAAGAATGCGTGCAATAAAGAATCCTTGTGGCTAACCAGTTAGAATAATTATCTAATTCTACTGTTATAAGAAAGTGTTTTAGACATTAATGTGTTGATATGCTAAATTAGTGGGAGTGTTGTTCGCACTATGTTTTTTCTATTTAAAACCATTGTGTTTTCAATAAAATTCATAGTTTTATATGGCAATATTGATGCTTCACTGGAAGTATAGGCAAACTCGTTGGAGTTTGATAAGGACCAAAGTCTTTGTGTTTAAAGAGCATCTTGCAAGGATGGGAGTGATGGAATTATTCGATTCAGTAGCTATGTGACAGTAAACTTATAATTTGATTTTATTTACTTTATAGCTATTTGTGCAAATAAATGTGAGAAAACTTGCTGATTTGGTTCTATGTGTTGGTTTTGACATGAATTGCTAGTAATAAGCAAATGTTTGGCTATTAGGGTTTCTATACATTATAATATCCCTTGTAGCATTGTTTGCTTATTTGAAACTTCAGTGGTTTTAATTATTTCAGCGTGAAAGATAGCTAAAGATGCTTTGTTAAAACTAAGCAACGATAAGGTAATGGTTTATCTAGTGGGAGTAGAAGGTAAAACTCCCTTATGGCCAACGTGTTTATGCATCATACGTGAATGGTTTTGTGATATGGTGATTTCAGAGTGGCTGTGCTATGATAGTGTTCAGGCGAAGATTTCTCCAGAGAGGGCTTTTCGGCTATCAAAATAGCTCCCCAAGGGATTGGCACTTTGGAGGTGTAGTCGGGCTCTTGCCTGCTATTGTGCAAGAAGAGGACAGAGTTAGTTTTGAAAGGTGCCTTTGTCGGGCCTGAGGTGTTGGTAGTAAATTATAACGCACCACAAAGTAGCACACAATAATCCTATTAATTTTCCTTATTAACACTAAGATTTGTCAATTGTAGCATATGAAAATAAGGGTCTTTCCCGCAGAAGATTGTTTTATCCAAATACTTAAAATGTCACAAAAACGGGTGGCTGTCTCCACTGACCAGCCACCAAACAATAATTATTAGACTAACTTATACTTATCCAAATGCAACGAAATTTTATACACATAAACTAGAGACACCAAGCTATGCTCACACAAAGTTTTGGGATTTTTGGAGTTGATTTTCTATTTAAATTAAATCATAAAAAACAGTACAGAAACCGATTTTAAATAATACCAATAGATTTTAATTCACAAGTTAAGAAAATGAGTTAGGGGACATGCTTTCCACCACCAAATAATCATGCAAACATGTTATGTTTCATTCAAATTCCTTTTATTTCCGGATGAAGATGCTCAAGTTGGCTCACTGTTAGAACTCAACCTATTACTCTTTCTTACGTAGTATGTTAAGAGAATGGCGTTTTCAACTTAACTTAGTCCCTAGCATGCAATCTAGAATGGTGTGTTCATAGATTTAACAAGTAGAAATCATTAAGAATAAAAAGAGTTTGAGTCATCACAAGGCTTCGTAAGCACTGGCGTTGTCTTACTTATCCTAGAAATCGGTTCACATGTTAACCACAATTAACAAGTGCTACTCTAGAACATATGTAGGTCCTCATTCAACAAGGGCAGGCAGACATATATTCATAGCATTAAAATCCTAGATATGCTCACTATGTATGCATCCATAGAAACACATAAAGAATTTATCAATGACATAAGTAGTGAAACAATTTTCATCCTTTCATAAAAGTCATTCAAACAAAATATCACAACATACTTACAATCATATTCGGGGCTTCAAAACAACCCCTAACTACTAAAAATTAGTTACACATTATTTTCAAATTAAACCAAAAGTTAAACATGGGTTCGAGAAGATAAAACCAAGAAAAATGGAGTGAAGCCTCTTCTCCCTGCTCTCTGCCGTGCCTTCTCCTTTGGATTGCTGTGCTACTGACTTTTCCCCTGCGTTCACTTCCCCCGTGCCTTCTCTCTGTATTTTTCTGTTTTTTCTTTCTCTGCACCGTGCTCTCCCTTTGCCTCTGACCTGCCCTCTGACCTTCCCTCTGACCTTCCTCGTCCGTCCACTCTCCTTCTTACGTCTCCCCTCTTTTCCGCTATCTCCTCGACAGCCTGCCCTCCTGCCCTTTTATTCTTTCCGCACTGCCTCAGTGCTCTCTCTCCACTCTTATTTTCTGCTCGCTGTCAGTCCTTGTGCCTTCTCTGTCAGTCTCCATGTCTCTCTCTTTATTTTCTGCATTCCCCGCACTGACTTCCCCACTTCTTTGCCAGCCAGTCCGAGTCCCACTCTCTTTTCTGTTTTTATTCCTTCTGCAGTCCACGTGCTTGCTGGCATGTCCACAATTTCTTTTATTCTTTTATTTATTATTCTTCCTTGCCACAGAAGAATGCCATCAGCCCTTTTTCCTTTCTCATGTTCTCGACATAGCAACAGTAAAGGAACAGTAATCTTCACTGAGCATGTGCACTTGATGACTGATGAGATTCTGCAGTAATGGAATGACTACACGCATGCGGTGATCATGTGTGTGGCTTTAGTGCTCTTTTCAAGGTATAAGCTGGAAAGTATTTTTAGCAGCAAGATTCTTTTGTGCTATTTTTATTTTCTTTGCATAACAAATCCTATAAACACAAAAATAACGTAAATAGCTCAAAAATATAAGGAACTAACTAAGAAAAGACGAGTGAATTCGAAGTAAAATATATATAAATATGATCCGATCAGGTGTAGGCTTTCAGGCTCGCAATCAAAACTAACCAAGTGCTAGGCATGCCACTGCTATCTCAGTATAGCAGATGTTGAACAAGATTATGTTTAGTCGATTACTTGTGCTCCAAGTTACTCGGACTTCTTGTTATCAAAAGATTGTCGTAAATGGGTTAAATCCATATTAAGTTCTTTTTCTTGCCTTGCGAACAAGGACTTTCAGTTCATAGTCTTGTATATTCGAATGAAGAGAGTCCAGATCCCTTTAAGTCATTTACTCGGTTCTTGGTTGGTTTAAATTAAAGTGTATCCATTAAGGTGACTAGATCCAGATGCAAATAAGAATCTTAAAGTAGAAAAACATATGGATATGACTTGAATACATATTGGAGAATACATTAAGTAGTAGATCTATTAACTTGTAAAAGAAACAAAGAGCTTTGAGCAAGATTTCACCTTGTCGGGCAAGGTTAAACTTCTTGCAATCACTTCTCTTTTGAGTTTATAGGGTTTATATGCTAAAAAGAGATGGATGGTAAACAAGTTTACACAAAGGAATCGATACTACGTCACTAGGGGTGATAACAGAGCTTTTAAACTAGACAAAATATGGCTTTTGTAGGGAATGATCCTGAAAAGGATTGAGATCTGGGCTGATTACAGCTTTTAGATGCAAATCTGGCTTGAGAGCAGAGTTTATATATTTGTTTGTTTGATTGGTTGAGTGTCCTTGTCTTTGGGACCTCTTCCTCTTTTTATAGGAAGATTAGCCCGACTACAGTGGTTTTGCTCTTACCCGAAAGCACTTGGAGGGCAGTGAGTCATCAGCTTTTTACTTGTATTGCCACTGCAAAGTGTTTTTTTGGCTAATTGTGAGTTAGTCTTCGTCACTTGACATTTAAATCATAGGCACATGGCCTATGCATTAATGGGAAGGCGCCAATTTGTCTCTGGGCTTGATGATGGGCTTTGGGCAAGTCTTCTTTTAATTGGCATCTTTGGGCTTCCATACACTTACAGCCCAAGGTTTAAATATTAACCCAAACAGATAGTGCATGTCTTTTCTGAAGTTCTATGTCTTGAATCACTCATGGTGGATGTGTGAGGAATTGGTTATTCATTTATTAACTCACGTGATCACTAAGGAATTGGTTTTGGTGGAAACATGGCTCGAAACAAGGATGATCAATTTAGGTCCAAGTGGGAGAATGTTGGAACCCTATTGGACTCTAAACTGATCTCATTAGGGTTTTGGGTTTAGTTGAAACTGGAATCAGTTAGAGTTAATATTTAAATAAGTGTTCTTTCCTTTAAAGTAGGACAATAAGGTTAAACATGTTGGTGAGTTGATATCCCACGTTGGAATGTAAATGGGCGTGCAGTTTTGCCAAACAGTTTCTATGATAGGTGGAAACGGTTGTGGTTACACGTCTATAAAATGGTTTAGTCCCTGCTCAAGAGGAACATGTTCTTTTAGTAACTAGCCCTATTCTTGTGAGAATATAAAGTCCCCATTGAGTAGAAGACTCTTCCTCGATCATTTAGTAATGGCTTCATCAGATTCGCGTACTCTTCGTCCCCTATATTAGGTTGTAATCTATGCATGTCGCTAACCATAAATTCCAACACCACTCTCTCTTCTAAGCTGTCCAATATCTCCAAAGAACATTCCCACTCAAAAGCATGAAGCAATGCTGCCAAGTAAAAGTGGATCATGCGTTGACCAAGTGGCTTTCCGACACAAATTCTTTTCCCAGTCCCGAATGGCAATAGGTTAAAATCTTGTCCCTTGACATCGACGCTTGACCCAATAAACCTTTCTGGTTTAAACTCGCATGGTTCTTCCCATATAGTGTGATCCCTTGCCATTCCCCAAACATTCATGAACACAATACAGTCCTTGGGAATGTGATAACCGGAAACCTCACACGCCTCATTTGTTCTACAAGGAAAGATCAGGGGGAAGGCTGGGTGGAGCCGGAAAACTTCTTTCACTGCTGCTTGGAGGTAAGGTAGATTGGAGATGTCTCTCTCTTCGACAAACCGATCCTTCCCAACCACTTGGTCCAACTCCATAAGAACTTTCTTGTCTACATTATGGTTTCTTAAGATCTCTGTCATACCCCATTCCACACTGCTTGAGGTGGTCTCTGTGCCTGTGATGAACATTTCCTACAATATCCAAAATCCAAACTGGTGCTTTAGTTTTAATTAACCACAATGTTAGGCGTTTAGTATATATATAATTTCAATACCTAATCTTTATAAAAAAAACCGTCTTTTGCTTACCTAAATATATGATGTTTCATACTCTTAACATTATTATGCCAACGCCTAAGCGTTTAAATTGAACATTGAGTTAAAATAAGGGTAATGCTAGAGATACTAAATTTCTAGATTAAATTTTGTAAACAAAATGACATGGAAATTTGATGATTGGATTACTACTTAAGCGTTGATTAACATACCCATTTCTGACACATCATTTAATTTACAAATTTAGTCTACAAAAAAATTTAAGGGTCATTTTGGTTCCGGTCCCTAATTAATCTAATTGTTAGATTGAAACCTTGTTTGTTTAAATATTTTGATCGAGGTCCTTAAAATCATTTAAGAGATTTAACTCATGCATTTATGCATTTAACGTCCCACAAATTATGAATTTAAACAAATTCAAATAATATTTTTAAAATATTGTCTAAAAATATTTTTAAATATAAATACTTAAAAATAAATATTAGAGTAATATTGTTCTTCACAAAATTATAGCAAGAAAATAAAGTACCCACATAATTATTAACATATTTTTAAAAATAACTACTGATATATTTAAAAACATATAATTAGCATGGGTACATTTAGCAAAAATAAAAATGGGTACAAATAAGTTAGAAAATATGGCTACAAAGGGCACATAAAGAAATTAGTTAATAGGTATAAATTAAAACTGAAAAGAAAATTGGTACAAATTAAAAAAGGGTAGCAAATTAAAAATATATGATAAAAAATTTAGCCATAAATATAAATATATCAAATGTAACATTTTTAATGCTAAATGAATAATTTAGAAAAAAAATGTTTTATTATTGAAATAATTATTGACGTTTATTAATACCTAAGGACCTTGATAAAAAATTGAAAATGAATAAGGTTTTAATCAATGGAGTAACAAAATGAAGGATGTGAACCTAATTTCTCCAAAATTTAATCTCTCTAACATTACCGTAAAAATAATATCTAGAAACTGATTGCATCCTAAATTACCAAATCGAAAACCACCTAATTTTTGGTCTTGTTATGACCCATTACTGATTCGAACCAATTTAGTAACCCTACGAAAGAAAGATTAAAACGAAATTTCCACACTCCCTATCTCCTTTAAGTTATTTAATTCAAAGATTATATATAAATACAATAAACTTACTGCAAGCATGGCCTTGATGTTATTTCTGGATAACCTTTTTAATTCGTCTTCTTTGTCACTTCTATAATCCAATAACATATCTAACAAGTCCAATTTGTGCTTCCCAATAGTGTTTCCCGTCTCCCGTTCCTGGAGCCTCTCCTTGATAATATTTTCATAAAAGGCATCCATTCTCTAAAAGATGTTTAATATTCTCCGTTTCAGGCCTTGAGGATCAAACGGCTTGAATATTGGGAGGACATAAGTGTAAAGGTATAAAAGCAAAGGATCAATCCAACCGCTGATGTGCTGCCATGTGTCAATAGATTAACCTGATAACTTTGTTATGAGCTTTCTTAGTTTGTAAGGAAAGTGTAGTATATATAGAGATAGCTTGTAAGGATTCAGTGTAAAAAAATATAATACATAAGAATTGTTTTCTCATACTCTCTCCAACTTTCTGCAATCCCTTTCTCTCTCTAATTGTGAAACCTCCATTGTTAAAGCTTCAAGCTTCTCTTCTTACAAGGTATCCTCGCCGGGACTGGATGACGCTTCTCAATCCTGATCAAGTGTTGCTTCCATTATCTTCGATCTTCTCTTCTCAACTATTTCTCTGTGTTGGTGGTATGAAATCTTCTTTCTTGAATCTTTACTGGTATGGCGAAGTATGATCTGTAAAGTAGTTGTGTTTCTTGCACGCGAACTGTTTGATGATATGCATGAATGACTTTTTCTCTCTGAATCTGCCAATTCTTCCTCAATTTTTTTTTTTGAATATTACTCTCGAAAAGTGATGTGTGTGTAATTGCAAATCCTAGGTTCTCAATTTCTTTAAGGTCTCTCAATTTTCTACAAGAATTTAGAAAGTATGGTGACTGCTGCACAATTACAGATAGTTCAGTCTCCAAGTACGAACTTGATTCCTAACGTTTCGGTCTCTGTAACGGTGAAATTAGATGATATGAATTACTTAGTTTGGCATTATCAAATGCGATTGCTTCTTGAAAGTCATGAAATTTTTGGTTTTGTGGATGGAACACGTCGATGTCCACCTTGTTTTGTTGAAGATTTAGATGTTGAAGGTGTTGAATCTAAAGCGTACCAAATATGGAAGATGCATGACAGAGGTCTCATACAGCTTCTTATTGCTACTCTCTCCACTACTGCAATGTCGTGTGTCATTGGTTGTTCCAATTTTCATAAAATTTGGACAAATCTTAAGGATAGGTTCTCTACAATTACCAAAGCCAGTATTTTTTAACTCAAGACTGAGTTGTAGAATATCAAGAAAGGATCTGATACTGTTTCTCAGTACTTATAGAGGATTAAAGATGCTCGAGATCATCTCTCTGCTGCTGGAGTTTCATTTGATGATGATGATATTGTCATCCTTACCTACTTGCTGAGTATAACACATTCGTACAGTGATAAGGGGTCGAGAGAATGTTATATCTCTCAAGGATTTTCGAGCAGTTACTTGCTGAAGAAACAACTATTGAGCATGCTCCAGTTCATGAATCCTTCACTATTGCTATGATAACACATAATAATGTGTCCAAAGGAAAGGCCTTGGTGCTTGATGAAGGGCATTCTAACCCTACAAATACCCAGTATCATCCTGGTAGTTCATCTGGAGGATCTTATCATTTTGGTAACCATAACAATAATTCTGGTGGTTTTTATAATTATGGATGCTATAAAGGACAAAATTTCAGAGGGAGAGCAAGAGGCCAACATCATTTTGGTAATAATTTCATATTCTCTAGTCCTAATAATAGTCCTAGCATCCTAGGCCCTACGAGACCACATGTTTCTACCTGTCTTGCGCACAATAATGACATACATGTGTGTCAAATTTGTAACAAACGAGGCCATCTTGTTGCTGACTGCTTTCAGCGACATTGTTCTACCATTGTTACCTCATCTCTAGTGCAATGCCAGATCTGTTGGAAGTTTGGTCACTCTGCAATGCAATGTTATCACCGAGCCGATTTCTCATATCAAGGAAGACCTCCACCATCCTTCATTACTGCAATGCAAACTAACTATCAGCCATCTGCTCTTCAAGAACAATTTTGGGTAGCTGACACTAGGGCTACATCCCACATGACATCTGATATGTCCAACCTCACTTTTGCAACTCCATTTACTGGCACCGAAACAATTACCACTACAAGTGGTGCAGGTTTGCAAATCTCCCATACTGGTTTTTCAATTTTGCATACTCCAAAACATGCTTTTCAATTAAAGAAAATATTGCATGTTCCGAAATTGTCTAAACTTTTGTTGTCTATCTATCAACTGTGCAAAGACAACAAATGTAGGTTTATATGTGATGAGTTCTGTTTTTGGGTTCAGGACAAGATCATAGGGAAAGTTCCTTTTCAGTGACTGTGTAGAGCTGGTCTATATCCAATTCCATTATACATATTGTTGATGCACAAAATCAGTAAGGACTTTGGTACAACAGAAAGTGTCAAGTTTGTGACCTTTGCTAGATTGCTCCAGTTACTAGTGTGGATAAGTATGCAAATGGATAGAGACAGGGAAGCAAACACAAGATGTACGTGGTTCACCCAGATTGGCTACGTCCACGAAGTAGAGGAGTTCTCATTAATTGTGAAGGGTTTACACAAGTACATAGGTTCAAGCTTTCCTTTAGTAAGTACTAGTGAATGATTTAGTACAAATGACATTAGGCAATATTGTGAGAAAATGATCTTTATTTATAGAAGAAAGTTTCTGGTTTCATTCTGACATTGACACGTGTCGTGTTGTGATTGGCCTCTTGGTTTGAGGGAAACTCGTCATTGACTGTATAACATTGACCGGTGCTCAGTAGTTTCGGGATTGGTCAAGTATGGTACAAAAAGTGCTTCCTTAAGTTCCCGAGTGAGAGAAGCTCCTCGGTTGGGGACTTGCAAGATCCAAGCCATTGAGTAATCACGAAACTTCTAAGTACCGAAGTGTGGTATCATTTTCACTTGCCTTATCTGTCTCATATGTAGATGTGACATTTTCTCTGGAAGTACTTTTCCTCCATCCAGGGGTGGTATCTTTAACCGATGAAGATGCACAAGGTAATGTATCAATTTCACTTGAAGCTTACTTGTAGTTTCGGACTTGGTTAAGTGCGATACAAACCCCATAGTTGGAGTCCCCCAAGTTATCGTGCTAGGAGATTTGTTGAAGGAGGTAACAGACAAGGTAAGTAATCAGACTTCCAAGCAAGCAACCTGGATCAGAGGTTCAACTTCGGCTTCCGGTTGATTGTTCTCATGCTTCTTGTGTCGTAAACAGCAACAAGGATAAGGAGAAGCAAATGGAGAAGAGATGATATGAAATACTTTTTCTTTTGAAGAAGTAACTTTCCACAGGCTTATTCTTGAATTGGGCTGGAGGGTTTTCTGGTTTCCTCAAGAGTATAAGGCCGATTCAAGAATTTGAGGGTCAAAACAAGTCCATCAAATCTAGAGTACGTTCGACCCTGATGATATGGGATACTTTTGCTGTTGACAAAGTAGTGGATGTATCGGCACGTGTTCTATTATGCTTGTCTCTACATGCTTCCTTGTATCCTTCTCACCTGCCATATCTGTTCCTTAGGCAGATGTGGTATTTTCTCTGGAAGCATAAGATGTTGAAGATGAGTACTCGAGAGCAATGCCAAGTAAGTAATCAGGCAAGGGGTTCCAGGCAGTCAGTTCCTGACTGGAAGCTTGATTCCAAGTGTTGACTGATTGCTCTTTTTCTCCTTGTCTTGCAGGTAAGAACAAGGCCAACGGAAAAGACAGGGAAAAAGCATGATATGGGATACTCTTGCTTTTAACCCTGATGATATGAGATACTCTTGCTCTGGTGTGGCTTATCTGGGGGAAAAGAAGCTGAGTATTTCGAGAGACTTTGCTAAGAGTGCCCTATCGGATGTGAAGAAAAGTTGAGCATTTTTTATTTCCAGGTCTGCCTGGCTGTGGAGGATGAAGGTCGACATATATACAAATTATCTCAATAGTGAGTAGTAATGCTGTTCCTTTACCCTTCTTGGTCATAGCAATGTAGTGGGAGTTGCAAGATTAACGTGTTTTAACTTTGTCAGAGCACTTTGAAAAATTGGTTTGTGGTATCTGGAAAGCTGATGTTGCGTGTGAAGATTACAGACAAGCTTTATCCAAGTAAATCTAGCTCTCGAAGTTTGAAGAGCGGTGCCTTTTCGGTTTTCGAACAAGCAATCCTATCGGGAATCTGGCTCTCGAGATTCAGAGAACGGTGCCTCTTCGATTTTTGAGAAAGCAATCCTGTTGGGAGTCTGGCTCTTGAGATTCGGAGAGCGGTGCCTCTTCAATTTTTGAGCAAGTAATCTTGTTAGGAGTCTGGTTCTCGAGATTCAGAGATATGTGCCTCTTCGATTTTTAAGCAAGTAATCCTGTTGGGAGTCTGGCTATCGAGATTCAGAGAACGGTGCCTCTTCAATTTTTGAGAAAGCAATCCTATTGGGAGTCTGGCTCTTGAGATTCGGAAGGTAGTGCCTTTTCGATTTTTGAGCAAGTAATCTTGTTGGGAGTCTGGCTCTCGAGATTTAGAGAGCTGTGGTTCTTCGATTTTTGAGCAAGCAATCTTGTTGGGAGTATTTTCTCAAATGTGAGTAAAGATTTGGCATTTTTGCCAGTCTGCCTTACCACGGAGCACGGAGGTTGACACACATAGGGACTTTCTAGTTATCAAGCACTGATGTTGTTCCTTTACCTTTGTGGTAATAGTAGGGTAGCTGGACCTTCAAAATTTATGTGTCAAAACTTTGTCAGAGATCTTTGGCAAAGTTATCTGTGGTACCTGAGGAACTGAAGTTGCGTGTGGGGATTGTAAACATATTTTACTCAGGAAAATCTGCTTCTCGAAATCCGGAGAGTGGTGCCTCTTCGATTTTTGAACCAACGGCCCTGTTGGCCTTTCTTTTGTAGGGGCACCAATTGTATGCAAAAAGTACGTTCAGAGAGTTATTGCTTGTAGGAATTTTTCCCTTATTTTTGTACTTCAGAGATTTATTGCACCTCATTTCTCCTTCATCATTTCTGAGAATGTCTGGCCCATCCGACTGTCATTTTGACTTGAACTTTGGTGAAGAGGTAGCCATGCCCTCTCAAGACAACATATGGCGCCCATCCTTCTTATCCCCTACTGGTCCTCTTACT